TATATATATATATATATTTTCTTGGTCTATGTAAAATATATAAGATGCCAGCATTTAGAACATCCACAATACATGCTTTTAACTATGTATTTTATTTTACTTTATTATGTTCCAAACGGTTACATCACATCTAAATAGCTCTTAAGTAATTCACCATATTTTTACTCCAATGACATAATTTTAAGCAATTCTCACTAAATATTTATTTTACATACGATCTTGCTGTTTTTCTCTCTTTCTTTTTTGGTTTGATAGTGTAAAAATAATTATTTCTTTCATAAGTTACTGTATCTTATTAAGATACGAAACGTAAATTTAAGATACATTCTCTGCAATATAAACCGACTTCAATAGGAGAAAAAAAATGGTGCTTAAACATAAAATGTCCATACGATACTAACTTTGTTGAAGCATGAGTATAATATTTGTCGTATATATTCTTGAAAGAATGAGTAGAACATTAATTAGTTATTCAATTTGTAGGCAGTTTCTGGTGGCGTGGTCCAATTACATTGGGATAAATTTATCTACTCAACTGCGGCAGCTTACACAGTTGCCACTCATTCTCACACCATATTAATGTAAATTTCCTTTGATTACAAAAAGGTGCAAACCCCCATTCCGTTTTCTAGTCCATTGCATTATGGTTCCCAACCAACTCATGCACCTAAAAATCATATTTCCATTAATGTTCCAAACAAACCCATACCGATGGTAGAATTGTTAGAAACACATTCTTTAATATATATTTTTCTAAAATATTTTTGAATTAGTTGAAATATATTGAAAAATATAAAAGATGATGAGTTTTATTTAACAACTCTCTCTTCCCATTGTGTGATTTTTAATAAATAGATGCCTCTATTTTTAAATAGAGATATTTAGTCTCTCTAATTTTAAAAATATAAAATTTTGATTCTCTCATCAAATTGACATATACTAATTGGTTCTTCCATCAAATTGATACTAATCGCTAAATTTTGATATTTATTTATATTTTAAGTGATATGATATTTAATAACATAATATCTATAAATAAAATATACAAATAATATTTTTATTGATAAAATAAATATTAATTATTTACAAAAATAAATACAAACGAAATTATTTATATGTTGTTTTTAAATTTTACCCTTATATACATCATATATATATATATATAACATACAATACAAATTGCAAAATAAACTTGAGTGTCGGTTAATAAATATAATAAATGAAATAATAGAAATATAGACATAAAGAGTAATGTTGTAAAAGTTATTCCATTATATAGTTTTATCATATATATATATATATATATATATATATATATATATATATATATATCATCTCTTAAATAATGATAAATTATTAAATAATGTCAAAATTTAATAATTAATAAATATAAAATTTATAAAAGGATCAAAATTTCGTATTTTAGAAAAAATAAAGACTAAATATTTTTATTTTAAAATAGAATGACTAAAATTATGAATAAAAAAATAATGACAAAAAAGTGTAATTTAACGTAATAAATTATAACTAATAAAAGAAATTATATTATAAAAAGAGTATGTTAGAAAGTGATGGTAGTGGTAGGTGTCTTTTATTTATATTAACGGTGGTGTGTGAGAAGTGAATTCACAAGTATGGAAGTGCAGGTGATAATTTTGTGCAGCGTTTTGCTTGCGTGGGTCTCGGTGGCTAGGGCAAAGGTTGGGGCGATGGTGGTGTTCGGGGACTCGTCGGTTGATGCGGGGAACAACAATTACATAGCGACGGTTGCACGCAGCAATTTCGAGCCATATGGGCGTGACTTTGAGGGTGCGAAGCCAACTGGGAGATTCAGCAATGGACGAATAGCCACTGATTTCTTGGCTGAAGCCTTTGGAATCAAACCCTACGTGCCACCATACTTGGACCCTCGTCATAACATTTCCCACTTTCTCACTGGGGTCACCTTTGCTTCTGCTGCTACTGGCTACGACAATGCTACCTCCGATGTGCTTGTGAGTCATGCCTTTTCTTATTTTGTTAAAGTCTCCTCTTAATTTATTTTAAATAAGTTTTAAATAATTAATAAATAAATAAAAGAGAATAATTATTTTATAAAATTAATCTTATGATTAATTTTTTTGTTAGAAGCGGTTCAACAAAACAATCACTTTCTACATGATTTCAGGAGTGTAAATAATAAAAATATATATAATGTAGCTAGCTTACAATAAAAATGAGTACATATATGTATCAGCTTTTTTTTTATTGTGCATTGAAGGTTCTTAACATATATATGTCTTTATATATTAGTAAAATATTGTCCGTTTTACTATATTTAAAAGTTAACATGATATTTATTATGAGGCTCAGAATAATAATATATGCATAGAGTTTTGTGTTTGTTTTTTATAATATATATTAATGTTTTGGTGGTGAAGTGAGTTATCCCTATATATATATATAAATGAATCAACATAAATGTATACATGATTTAAAAGTTAAAATATTACAATGTAGCTAGCTTACAATAAAAAAGAATACATATATGTATGAACCTTTTTATTGTGTACCGAAAATTCTTAACGTACACATGTCTCAATATTGATAAGATATTATTTGATTTGGATTTAAGTCTCTATAGTTTTGCTATATTTAAAAACTAACATAATATTTATTATAAGGCTCAAAATAATAATATATGTATAAAATTTTGTGTTTGTTTTTATTATATATTAATGTTTTTGGGGTAAAGTTAGTTATCACTACACAAGCTATGTATATATTTATAAATGAACATAAACGTATATATAATTTAAAAATTAGAACATTACAAATGTAGTTAGTTTACAATAAAGAAAGTACATATATGCAGGCATGAGCTTTCTTGTTGTACACCGAGGGTTCTTACCACACGTGTGATTACATTGATAAGATATTGTCCATTTTAAACATAAAGTCTTTAATCAATACAGACAATTGTGTGTATATAAATAAATGTTCACCATCATGTAACTTGTTAGTATCACATTAATAAAAAATATTAAATTTTTAACGAAAGAGACTAAAATTGTATAATGTGATACTTGAAGAACTAAAATTAATCAATTAAAAATTAATCGACCAAAATCACACACACCTACAATACTTAGAGACTAAAATTGTTCGATTAAAATTTAAAGGACTAAAATCTCACAAATGCAATATATAGAAAAACCAAAAACACTTTAAACCTTGTAAAACTTATGAAAAGGGTTGGAAAAAAGTATAAAAAAAATAGATAAAAAAGTTTGTTGAAGAATTTATTGATGATTATAAATTTTCATTATTATGGATTGCAAGCATGCCAAAAAAAAACATCACACATACATACATACAAGATTTGCTCTTCTCATCCTCTCATGTGAAATACTCCTCTCACTATATCAAAAATATTAACAAAAAAATAGCCGTTTTTTTTTTATGCTGAAAACGATATAGTTTGAACACCACATATATGAATTTGAATTTTTGGTTGCAGTCTGTGATACCATTATGGAAGCAGTTGGAGTACTACAAAGGGTACCAAAAGAAGCTGAGAGTGTATCTTGGAGAAAGTAGGGCACATGAGACAATTGCCAAAGCATTGCACATAATAAGTCTTGGAACAAACGACTTCCTAGAGAACTATTATGCAATCCCTGGTAGAGCATCACAGTATACACCAAGAGAGTATCAAAATTTTCTTGCTGGAATAGCTGAGAATTTCATCCACAAACTCTATGCTCTTGGTGCAAGAAAAATATCCTTAGGGGGTTTACCTCCTATGGGGTGCTTGCCTCTGGAGAGAACCACAAATTTTGTTGGTGGAAATGACTGTGTGCCAAGTTACAATAACATTGCATTAGAGTTCAATGCCAAACTCACTAAGTTGACAACGAGGCTGAACAAAGATCTTCCTGGGATCAGATTGGTATTTTCAAATCCGTATGATATTATGTTGCAAATTATTAAAAAGCCAGCTCAGTATGGTAAGTCATAAATAGAATTTACAATTATATATAGATTTTTGGACCTTAATTTACTTGTGCATAAGCATAACAAGACACATGTTAAACAATACAAAAATACTTTTTTAGACACTCATATAAGACAAAAATTCCAAACAATTAACATTCTTAAAAAACTATTCTCTCTCTCTCTTTTAGTGTTCTATTTGAAAAAAAAGAAGAGGTAAAAAATTAATTAAAAAGGTAAAAATGAAAAAATGAAAAATGAGGTATTGTTTGAGTGTGTCTTGTGAAAGTTGGGTGTCCAAAAACAGAACCGTAAACAATAAATCGGGGTGGTAAGTGTAGACTCCTTTTTGTTTTAATTACTTTTCTATTATGATTATATACCAACATGAATTTTATTTATTAAAATATGAGAAAATAGACAATGAATGATAATACAAAAAAATTTTACATTGTTATTTAATTATAAACTATACAATTTTTTTTATGAAGGATCATCAAACTCTTTGGCCACTTGAATCAGCATGCATTTGTCCTTATATTTTGTCTTTCTTTTTTCATATTTGTGGTTCACATCTTATATTTTAGGTTTGTTTTCCTGGAGAAAAATACCATGAAAAACTAATTATCATGTAGTGGAATAGATATAAAAATAATATAAAATAAATAGTACTATACTTAAAATTGAAATATTTTTTATTTTTAGGGTTTCAAGTGACCTCAATGGCATGTTGTGCTACTGGAATGTTTGAGATGGGATACGCATGCAGCAGGGCCAGTTCTTTCAGTTGCATAGATGCTTCCAAATATGTATTTTGGGACTCATTCCATCCAACGGAGAAAACCAATGGTATCATTGCAAAGTACCTCGTAAAGAACGTATTAGCTCCATTTTTGCATTAAAAAAATCATTTCAAATTAATTTTATGTACGGAATGTAATGTCATTATGTCTCTTTGCTTAATGGACTACTTAAATTAAATAATATCCCAATCAGAATTGTTTCATAATTATGTAGCAAAATGCGCGTATTCACTTCTTGAATATTTATAGGAAAATTTCTTCTTTTAATAAAATTAGTGTAAATATCTATGATTTTTTTTTCGCTTTCATGAGTATTTTCAATTCACTAAAATTAAGATTAATTTTGTTTGTGGTAGTTTGATTTTCGCCGGCAGAATACACAATAAAACCTACGTAACTAATCCACGGGATATTATGTAAGATTTTAATGAGTCATGCATGTGATTTATTGGGGGAATTAATATTGAGAATTGGAATCGCATAAACTGAATAGTATTTCTTCTATTGATAGAAAAATCAGAGAGAGCTACAGAATGGTTTTACAACTAGTATATATATATGAAAAACAAAAAATAAAAATATGGACAATATAACGGACAATATAACAGGTAGGCTAAATAGCCAATACCCCCCTCAAGTTGGTAAATAGATATTGAAAGAAGCCAACTTGCTGTTGAATTTTTTGAAGAGTGGTTGTGAGAGCGCTTTTGTAAACATATCAACAATTTGGTCTTCTACCTTAACATGTATCAATTTGATACATCCTTCTTCAAATAGCTCTCTGATATAGTGGTGATCAATATCAATGTGTTTGGATCTTTCGTGTAGTCCTGGGTTTGTTGCCAAAGAAATGGCAGATTTGTTATCACACAGCAACATAGCAGAGGAAATATGTACTTCAAAGTGTGTAAGAAGTCTTTGTAGCCAAATCAGCTCACTGGATGCAGTAGAAATAGATCCGTATTCAGCCTCAGTGGATGATTTTGACACTGTGTTTTGTCTTTTGGACCTCCAAGAAATTAAGGATTCACCTAGAAAAATGACAAATCCTATTGTCGATCTTCTGGTATTGAGGCATCCTGCCCAATCTGCATCGCTGTAAACAGTCAAGTTAAGATTTGAATCAGAGGGGAATAAAATACCTTGTCCAGGTGTGCCTTTTAGATACTGCAATAGATGATGAACTGCCTTAAGATGAGGACTTCTCGGACTTTGCATGAATTGACTTAGCTTATGGACAATGTATGTTATATCAGCACTAGTACATAATACACATTTTACGTCGGTCATTTTAGGGGTTTTTACGTCAGAAAAACTTTCGACGTTGAAGCGGGAGACTTAAATTTACGTCGGGGTGCGAAAACCGATGTAAATTTACGTCGGACATGCCAAGGTCCGACGTAAAAAAGTTATAAAAAATTTTAAAAAAATGAGTGCAAGCAGAACGGGCCGTTCTCCATGCAGAACGGGCCGTTCTGCTTGATAGACCCAGGAGTGGGTTCTCCAAACTCGGACTTGGTCACTTCCTTCTCCAGCTTCAAAAACTCGAAATGCAACACAAACATTATTACGAAAAAAACATCCCAGAAAACACTAACTTGATAGAAGATGCTACCTCATAGAAGAAAAATGCAACCCTCCGAAGAAGAAAAACATCATCACGCGAAGAAAAATAGAATAAGGTGCAGATGAGGAGGACAACCACGATTTGAGGAGGAGGCGGAGGGATGAGGAAGAAAAACAGATAGAAGAAGGTGCACGATTTGAGGAGGAGGCGGGAGAAGGAAATCATGAAATTTTTGAACTAGCTAATGCGCGCAATACACCTTCTTTTAAGCATCCTGTGGGTTATTTACGTCGGCCCTAATTGGGTTCGACGTAAATTTTAACATCTACGTCGGACACAATGCATAGCTGACGTAGATGTTAAAATTTATGTCGGACCCTTGGAGGTCCGACGTAAATAATTTAACAAAATTACGAAACGTGCTACCGTATTTTTATTACGTCGGGTCTTTGTATATCCGACGTAAAATGGGTGACGTAATATCCTATTTTTCCACTAGTGCAGGGCGCGAAATGGTAAGATACAAAAGTCTTCCGATAAGCCTTCTGTATAGAGATGGATCCGGTAGCAGATCGCCGGCTTCAGCAGTGAGGATGGTATTTGGATCCATTGGTAGTACAATTGGTTTGGAGGCTAAATAACCAGTGTCAGAAAGAAGTTGCAACACATACTTTCGTTGACAGAGATTGATTCCCTTTTTATTTCTAGCTATCTCCAAACCTAGGAAGTATTTAAGGTCTCCAAGCACTTTTAGCTTGAAATGTTTCTGTAAAGAAATATGCACTTGATGGATCCTTGAAGTATTGGGACCTGCAATGATGATATCATCAACATAGACAATTAAAATGACAAGGTTAGGACCATTACCACAAGTAAATAATGAGTAATCATGTCTAGATTGTGTAAAGCCTAGACACTTGAGTGTGGAGGAAAACTTGTTGAACCATTGTCTGCTTGCTTGTCTTAAACCGTATAACGACCTCTTTAACTTGCAAACAAGGTGTTTTTCTGATGTGGGGTATCCTGGAGGCAACGTCATGTATAATTCTTCATGTAGGTCGCTATTCAAGAAAGCATTACTAATTTCAATTTGGAAGAGGTGCCAACGTTTAATGGCAGCAACAACAAGAAGTGTTCTGATTGTTGTCATTTTAGCCACATGAGTGAAAGTATCTGAGTAGTCTATTCTAGGCTGTTATGTATAGCCTTTTGCAACTAATCTGGCCTTGAGTTTGTCGGTCGTGCCATCTAGATGGTATTTAACCTTGTAGACCCACTTACAACCTATGCATCTCTTTCCTTTAGGTAGCCTGGCAAGAGTCCAGGTATCCTTATCTTCAAGAGCTCTTAATTCTTCGCTCATGTCTTCTCTCCATTAAGGAAATTTCATTGCTTGGTGATAGAATGTTGGTTCATAAATGGATGAAACGTGACCAATGAAATATTTGTACTTGGGTGACAAATTATCATAGGTAAGGTATTCTTGTATGGGATATAGAACTGCATTGGTACAGTCGTAGGCTTCTAAATAGGCAGGTTTATTTGAAGTTCTGGAAGATTTTCTTGTGCCTGGTAAGTATGTAACATCTGTAGGGTGTGTTTGAGCAACATGTTGAGTAGTGGCAGAATTATGATCAGGTGTATCTAAGGTCTGATTATCGGGAGGGCTAGATTCAGGTGAATTATTGTGGGGCCTTGGAAGAGTGAGATCCTGTGTATGATGAGTGGAATCAGGATCAAGTTGTATATTGGTTTTTGTGGGTTGACAATTATCAGAAGATGAAATGGGTAAAGGAATAACAGTATCATGAAAGAAGTCCTGTGTTTCATGTCCAATGATGGAATGGTACGAAAAAGTGGTTTCGTGAAAGATAACATCCCTGGAGACAAAAACCCTTTTGGTCTAAATGTCGCACAGCTTATATCCCTTCATCCCCAGAGGATAGCCAACAAAGATACAAGTTGTGCTTCTTGGAGAGAATTTATCTCTTTGGGAGTTTAATGTTGCTGCAAAACACAAACAACCAAAACTTTTTAGCACAGTATAATCATGATCCTTACCATATAAAAGATTGTAGGGTGAGATGTTCTTAGTATTGGGAGAGGGCATCCTGTTTATAAGGAAGGCAGCAGTAGTGATACAATCCCCCCAGAAACGAATTGGGATTTTAGATTGATAATACAAGGCTCGTGCAACACTTAGAAGATGTTGATGTTTTCTTTCCACCACGACATTTTGTTGGGGTCTTTCAACACAAGATAGTTGATGAATAGTGCCTTTTTCCTTGAGGAATTCTGTCAAGGCAAGCTCTTTGGCATTATCACTCCGGAATTGTTTGATGGTGACTCCAAATTGAGTTTGAATCAAACTAAAAAAAGACTTGATTGCAGAAGTTGCTTCTGCTTTGGTTCTTAATAAATGGATCCATGTGTATCTGGAATGATCATCTACCAAAGTCAGAAAATATTTCATAGAATTATAAGTGGGATGTCTATATGGTCCCCAAACATCACAATGTATCAAATCAAAAGGTTTGGTACAAAAATGATTATGACATTGAAAAGGTAATCTCTTGAATTTAGCAACAGGACAAATATGACATGTAGATGAAGAATAGGAATTTGACATAGTAAAAGGAACTTTATTGCTTAACATTTTCAAAACAAGGTCATTCACATGACCAAACCTATAGTGCCATATATCTGTCTGTTTATTACAAGTGGGAAAACTAGAAATGAAAGTAAAGTGTGTTGGAAAATTAGCATTAGAACAAAAAACAGTATCAATTTGTTGTTTGTTGGAAGGCTGTTTCAAAAGGTATAATCCCTTTACAGCTTCACCCGTGCCAATCGTCCGTTTGTGAAGAGTATCCTGCAAAACGAATTTATTAGACTCAAATGACAATGAAAGAGGGTTGTCCCTTAGAAGACAATGTACAGATAACAAATTGTATTTAAATTTTGGCACATATAAAACATCTTTCAAAATAATATGATTATCAAGAATGATAGTGCCTATGCCACAAACAGGTATTTGACTTTGGTTAGGCAAAGTCACATGATGATCAGTGGTAATGTTGTAGGATTTAAAAAAGGTTGATGAGCATGCTACGTGAGTGGTGGCTCCAGAATCAAGAATCCAACTAGTACAAGAAAGAGGATCAACAGAGGGACTAATTGAAAGAAGCACACCATTTACAAGGGGATTACTGTCAATGTTGGTACTGGGTTGATTCTGTAGTAATGAGATAAGTTGTTGGTATTGATCTGCTGTAAACTAAAATGACTTATCATGTGTGTCTGAAACTTGATTGACAGCATTGGCTGAGCGTCCCCTTTTCAGATGTGCAGGGTACCCATGAAGCTTGAAGCATTTGTCCTTGGTATGACAAAGTTTCTGACAATGTTCACACTTGGGCCTGTTTTTACTTGAACTGTCGTTAGATCCTGATTTGTATGTAAAAGTTGTTGGTGTGTCAGTGGAATTTTCTACAATTCCAATTTCTTTTTGTTTCTTTTCTTGCATTACTAGAGAGAAAACCTTTTCTATTGATGGAATTGGGTCCATTAACAAAATTTGCCCTCTGATATGAGAATAACCCTCATTTAATCCCATCAAGAACAGCATGACATATTCATATTGATGATAATCAATCCAATATTTGATACCAC